CCATCCCTTCTATCCCATGAAACATGTGTCTCGCAGTCACCGAGGCAAATAATAATTCGAAAATATGTCGTCAATCTCTCTCTCTCTCTCTCTCTCTCTCTATCTATCTATCTATTTTTCTCTCTCTTTCTTTCTCGCTAACTCTTGTTGCATTATTATAACAAACCGACCTGGTAGCCTCCGTGCATTAGTGTCGCACGTAGTTGTAACCGCAAAAGCAGACACCAAACCCCAACCACCATTATAAATGCATTAACTCTATTTCTCGAGCGTGTCCTCCTCCCCCCTTCTCTCCTCCCAACTCCCCCTTCCACTTCTCCACCTTTGAGAGATGATTATTTTCCATCATTTTTCATCGCTTAGCTGTTTTCAATTTTGTTGTATGGTGTTCGCGTATGTATACTGAAACATAAGTAAGATGTGTAACCATTTTTTTTTTTTCAACGGGGGAAGAAAGGGGTGAAGGGAAAGGGGGGGGGGTGGTAAGGAACGAATTATTTCATTTAATATTATTTAATTCTATTTTTTCGATTGAACAAACCCAAACGGGGAACAAACACAAAACCAAAATGAACATATTTACTCTGAACACACCTAACACCCTTTTTCTATATTTTTTTTTTTCTTTTAAACATTCGATAGTCGCGAGGAGAGAACGTAATTCCCATCGTTTCATTGGTTGAAAAAAAAAAAGTATAAGAACAAGGGCCGGCAACCTTCAAGACGAAAAGTCAAAGATCATTAAGCGCCCCACGATGGAAACGATCGTTACACTTTCTTCGTCCAAACCCGTGAGGCTGGGGGGAGGGAGGAGGAGGTGAAGGGTGCCCACCATCAAACACCTTTCCCTCTCCCCTGACTCCCCCCCCAATTCTTTTTTCTCTTTTATTCTCACTCCAAAACTCTTTCTAGACTTTTACTTCTTTCCCCTTACCGCTCGTACCCCGTTGTTCCCCCCTCCCCGTTTCCCCCCTTTCCTTTACTTCGTTTCTCATTTTGGCCGAACAAGATCGAGCATCCCTTTTCCAAGGACCCGACGTCTCGAACGATAAATCAATGACTTAGTCTCTTTTCTATGGGTTCCTACAAGCTTTCCCGTGGCCTGTCTTATTCCCTCGAATAATCGTCCGAGAAGGGTTTTATTTTTTTTTTTTCTTTATCACAAAGAGAGAGAGAGAGAGTGAGAAAGTGAGTAGGGCAATTAAGAATGTTTTAGAATAGGTAGTTGCACTCGAAATTATCGAAAAAGCAACCCCTCTTCTTCAATGCAACAACACAACACAGCAGCAACAGCAACAACAACGAAGACAGAAAAAAGTGGTGTATGGTGGGGGGGGGGGTATTAAAAAACATTACTCATCACATAATCGCATCGCGCGAAACGGTGGTTTTCAATTGCAATTCTACGTGTATCTCTCTCTCTCTCTCTCTGTCTCTCTCTCTCTCTCTCTTTCGGTGCTCTCAAAAGTGTCGAGAGAAAAATGAGAAATGATCCTGTGGCTCGATTCATAGGGGTCCCTGTTTAAAATTCATGAACGATTTTACTGCTATATCTTCCCTGCCCTTCCCCCTTCCCCCCTGCCCGTGCTTCACCACACCTCACCACACCCCACTCGACGAGCCTATCGTCGACTCGTCGACAAAAGGGTGAGCAAAACCAGGGTGGTGAGGGGGTGAGTGGGGATGTATATCGAGAGAGAAGGGGGGGGGGGTAGAGGTGGCCCACATTTTCAACCCGACGCAATGTAAAACGCACGTGTCGTACCACCTATAAAACCTTCCTCCCCCCCCACCCCACCCGACCCCACCTCTTTATTCCTATGCGTAAAAAGGGGAGGGGAGGGTAGAAAGTGGATAGTAGTACTGAGTGCTCCAACGAATATATTAATTGTCGAATTTTCCGTGCGAGTTGCATATCCGTTAAAGCCGCTTTGTCCCCGTCGTCGTTTCCCCCGTCAACCCCCCGCGCGCTCGAATCTCATCCGCTGATTATTAATTACTACGGACAAACGAAACGCTAGAAGGTTTCACTCCTTCCCTATAAACCTCATCACCCAACCCAACAACGATGCGTCTCTCTCTCTCTCTCTCTTGTTCGTACCTTTTTTTTTCCTTCGTTTTATTTTGTACCTTTTTTTGATTTGTTCATTTTTGCTCTCTGTCTCTCTCGCTCGCGTATACATCGAGACCCAAAAATAAATTTTCATTCTTTAACGTTATTTTATTATTATATATTTTTTTACTTCTTTTTTTTTTCGTTCTCCTTCTACTTTTATTTTTATATACATCTTTCATTTTGTTGTTTGTTTGTTTGTTTGTTTGTTTCTTTATTTATTTATATTACATTTGGGGCGCGTTGAATATTCCCGTTACGAGATAGGAATCGGGATCAACGAGATAAAATATACAAAAAAAAAAAATAAAAAGAAGGGGATATAAAAATGATAACGAAGCGTACGTAATGAATGTACACACCTACTATCCGATGGTACTGGATTTAATTATCGTCGAATTTTCTATATACGTATGTATGTATATATGTGTATGAGAGAATGAGAGAGAGAGAGAGAGAGGGAGAGACGATTCGAGAAATTTGCAATGTACCACGAAACACTCACTGATTTATAGTTCGCGAGATAAAGAATCAGGAAGTTCGAACAGGACGCGTGATTCATCGGAAACTCGCAAAATTTCGTGATGAAAACGAAATTACATTTATTTATTAGTCCTTTTTTTTCTCTTTTTTTTATCTTCTTCTTCTTCTTCTGTTTTCGTCTCTCTTTTTTTCTTTCGATCCTTTTGTTTATGGAAAATTGTCGACGAGAAAAAAAGAAAAGAAAAGAAAATAAAGGAAGGAAAGAAAAAGAAAGAAAGAAGGAACAGAAAGGGTTTGACGGGGGATGGTAAGAATTGCAAAACAGAAAGGAAGGGAAAAAAAAATCGGGTAGAAGTCTCGTGTAAAGAACACGTATAAGGGGTTGTCGTAATTTTCCCCCGTAGATTCGAGAATATTACTTTAACGTATAGAAGTCGGTAGTAGGGATGGGGGGTGGTGGTGGTGGTGGTAGTTTAAATCGAGTCTCTCACCCTTTCTATCTCTTTATCGTTTCATCTAACTTTCTCACCCCCGTGGCCTTACGCGAGCCTTTTTCGAAACCCAAACGCTAGTTTGATATACATATATATGTATATTTGTGTATAACATATACATATACACATATATAAACACTTGTATACCTCTTTCTCACTGTCACTGTATCTATCTTTGTCTTTCCAAAGTATTAAGGGTAGTTTCGCAGGTGTAGCGCGTTAACCGTGTGTATGCGTGGCATGATACGCGATGATTAGGCACTGAACTCCACGGGCTATTTGTTAGTATAATAAGCCCTCTCCAGCAGTGTGGCCAACGTAACCGCTTGCCGGCACGCCAGCCCGTTTTAGCGTAATTGTCCCAGATCGGGATTTACATACTCGAAGAGGGTGGAAGCGCGCGTTGGTGGTGGTGGTGGTTGTGGTGGTTGTGGTACTCTGGTGTTGGTGTTTAATGGTTGTTATAGTTGTAGTAGTAGTGGTAGTAACGTTAGTGGTTGCTAGTCATAGGTACGAGTAGAACGACAAAGGGTATGAGAGAGAGAGAGAGAGAGAGGAAATTGCTGAGAATGTCGTGATTGCTTTTAGAATCCTCTCTTTCTATGTTTTCTCTTTCTCTTTTCTCATTTCTCACCGTTCTCTTTCTGTTATGTCGGTATCAAAAACGATTCTTATGCTAAATACCACCCTCCGACAAATCACCACTGGATATACTATCTTAGGATCGTTCGAATTTTCGAAAGGTCGTGCAAGATTAGAGACTACATACTTACACTAAGAAATCATGGACATATTTCTATACTTCCAAAGCCACTTTGCTGCTGGTCGATTTAAATTAGACGTAAAAGAGACATAAAAAAATATTGCTGTGTGTGTGTGTGTATACTTATGTACGCGAGTAAGAAGTTATACTTCTTTGGCGCGTATCGAAACAAATATAACCTCTATAACCTCAAAAATAACTTCAACAAAAACTTCAATTATCTTGCGTGCCAATGTAATACTTTACATTTGTTGATAAAACGATAGAATGATAAAATAAAATTAAGATAATAAATACCAATTTAATTAATATAAGTATAATCTAATTTATTTATTTATATACAAGGAAAAGCAGAAGTGTGCCGATTATTCGGGTTTTCAATTAAACGAGGATGTTTATTTTAACAAAAATCTATCTAGGATACTATTATTAATAGATTATTCACGAATAATCAATGTCTTTGAAGATATTTTTGAAGATATTCACAGTTTTTTAATATCAATTACCACCGTATGTATTAATTAAATAACTTCAAAACACATAAATAATTTTTATTTGTATCGATATTAAACATGCGTTGTGTATATAGAAATATCCGAATATAGATATCAGTCCACACTAAATGTAAGGAAGTTATATCGAATTACTTCATGCAGTTCATTTCAAATTATTTTTCCCGCGCATCGTAAATATCGACAGACTTCGTAGTGTCGATTTTCGTGTCGCTGTGCGCGCGCATCGTAAAAATTCACTCTCATCATTCATTCCCAAACGCGCCAAAAGAAGTATAACCTCAAAAAGACGTGGTCATTTATTTCTTTTTCTTTTTCTTTCTTTTTTTGTTTCGTTACACTAAATTTATGGATTCGTTAATATGTTTTATTTAATTACACGAATCGTTTATTAAGTTTTCTTACAATTAATTCAATTTTCAGTTGTTCATTGTTAATTGAAAATGTAAACATATACCAAAGATCGAATATTCGGATTTATTTTGATATATTATAATAATTATAACATACACATTAATTTCAATTATTCCCTGTAACATATATACTCATATTTAACTTATTATATATATATTTTTCTATTACTATTTATTTCTTTCTCTCTCTAATAATTTTCTCTATCACATCTTATGTTACAGAACAAAATGGAAGAGACAAACGATGGTAGGTTTCGAGATAATGGCTGAAAGTAATTATGCAGTAGCCGCATTTCAACAATTTTATGGTACCGGAGCCGGTGCAGCTGTACCAACCCATCCCGCAGCAGGACGTTATTTTCCTTATGCAACGAGTCATCATTTACCATCGAATCAATTGTTTTATCAGCAAGCATCGGCTGCTGTTACATTGCAGAAACCATTACCGTATAGACTTTACCCACCTACGATGATCCTAGCTGGACCAAGTGCTGGACCATTTGGTTCGCTTGCAGCCAGCTCGAGTTTGTCAAGTTTGAGCAATTATTACCGTGATAGTCCTGAAATGGTTGACGAAAGGGAAAGGGAAAGTAGAAAGGACAGGAAGGATAGGGAAACAATGCAAAGGGATAGAAGTAGGAGTCGAGAAGGTTCACCTATTAGAAGAGAGGATACTCCTGAAAGTATAAAAGCAGATAGCGATGAAGAAAGTATACACGATATTTAGGACATAAATGATACGATCGATGATAATATGATCGGTCAAATGATTTCATAATTATAAACACGACGATATTATATTATATATAAGATTCGTTTAAACAAATCTCTTCTCCGAGATAATAGAATATTTCTATACGATGATGATTAATATGAATTCAACGAGAAGAAAGAAAGAAATAAACAAGATAAACTTATACAACAACATTGTTCATCTATAAGAATGAATATTGTCGTGAAAATTTGCGATAATTTTTAAAACGTTTCAATATTTTCCAATCGAATCGAGATAAACTTCGTGTTTTCTTAGAATCCTATGGGGGAAAAATGATAAAATTCTTACGAATTACGACGACGTACTTTTACTTTAACAAGGAAAACAAATGTTAAAGAAAATATATATATATATATGATGGTATATAATCGTTTTATCCAATGACGATTATCTTTTGAGATACACAAATCAATTAAATGAAATGAATTTAATTCGAAAAAAAAAACAACAACAATTGTTACACATTTATTCAATTAATCCATGAGAATTTTTCTCCTACGACTAATTATATTATTATAACAAATGATATAGTGTGTTGTAAATGTTTTTTTTTTTTAAATAATTTTACGATACGATTGTTTTACCGCGTTTTAATTGTCAATTAGTAAGATTGAAATATTTTCTAGAAAAATCGTAATAAAAATGTTTGAATAATTTTGTTCATGTGTTTATTTAATCGTATTTATTAACGTTGGTTGAAAAATGAAAGGATAGGACAAGAAAGAGAAAGAGAAATATAAAAAAAAATAAAACAAGGTCCGAAAAAAAAGGTGAGATTGTTGTTCGAACTATTTGTTTAGAAAAGAAAACTGATTCGTGGGTACAAACGCGAATCTACAATTTATATGACATTAGGAAAGAAATAATAAATACCTAGCCGCGGGGAGGAAGGGATACCAAAATGACACGAAATTATATACGGTTGTCGAATGATACAAAAAAAATAAAAAAAAGAAAAAACAGGACAAAGATCAAAAATAAATAAAAAGTAATATAAATGGTCGATGAGAGAAAGAGAAAGAGAGAGAGAGAGAGATAATTCGAAAGGATTATATTATATAGAAGATACCTTCGAAAATTAACAGTCGTATATATATATATATATACATTTTTCTTGTTGGAAACCGGAGAACCTAATAATAGTTTCTTCCTTTTGTTTTTTTTTTTTTTAATTTTATTATCTTTTTCAAACAAAAATTTGTCGACAGAAAAGATGATTTCGTCTTTTGGATAGATAATAAGGGATGGAAAAAAAATAATAAGAAAAAATATACTTGAGATCTACGTCGTCGGTTAACGATCGAAGAAACTTTGAGATATCAGTGTAATAAGTATATATATATATATAAGTAAGTATATATATATATATATATAATAGAAA